AGTGTAATGGCAGTACGTCCGACCGGTAATCGGAAGGTCTGGGGTTCAATTCCTCAGTCGGGCAGTGGTCTTTTTCCGTTCTGTCGTGATATAACATCTCGCTGGGTGATTACGGGGCGTAACAGTATTTTTCATTTATTTATCTTTATTGTCTAAATATAAATGATTCATTTATATTTATCCGTTATTATAAATGAAAAATAAAACTAAATTAACACCCCTACTACTGATTGGTTTAAATTAAATTTGTACTATATCCTGCATGTGTCTAATATATATTCAATTACTTTTGCAGTTATAGTTTCAGCACACGAGAGAGACGAAAGGAAAACGTCCATACTCAATTGAAGACAAATTGTGATAAACTCCGAACACAACTAGTATTTAATATATTTCTTCTCTCCGGTTCCTTATCCACCAGAATGCACTAATATAGGTTGTATGTGTTTGATTGCATTCTGACTCACACGAAATATCTCAGTAGGAGAAGGAGTGACTGCATAAAAGTAGAAAATGTACTAGATTAGGAAATAGTTATGTGGGGGGGGAGTCCGGTCTTTGATATATATTTATATTTGAATATATATATTCAGTGACCTTTGCACTTATAGTTACATGAAACGAAAAGGCCATACTCAATACGGTGATAAAAAGGAAAAAGAGAAGAGAGTGAAGAATTATTGTCCATTATACAAATCCGTGACACGACATTACCGCGAACGACATTACCACGAATACAAAAAACGACATTACCGCGAATTTTTCGTAGCAGACATTTGGGCATTTTAGGTAGTACGCGGTGGGGGTGTGGGCAGTGTGAGAGTGAGTTCGAAATGTAGTTTCTCACAAAATATTCTTTTTGACGCTCTATGAACTTTCCTGAGCTTTTCAAGTGCTTATCTGATATCTAACTAGACTGTAATTTGGAATTAATTTCTTATTTATAGTAGGTACGGGTAGGTATGGGTAGGTATGGGTCGGTATTGGTAGGTGTGGGTAAGTATGGATAGGTATTGATAACAAACATTTTGGAAACATTAGTCAAAGATGGTGTTCTGGGGGGCCCTATAAAAGCTCACTATGGAACTGTTGAAACCCAGGGTCGTGGATCGTTACATGATGAAGTCACCGAGGTCTCTCTGTTTATTTCATCTAAATATCATCACTATCCACCGTGTCGTCCATCTCCTCCTTATCCCTGGGATTACTGCTACTATATTTCTTGTCATAATTTCGCTGAATTTAAAAATCAAGTGTGTAGTTGTGTGACACCAGTATTCTGTCCGCATGATCACAATTATATCAATTCAGCACTTTCCATCCCATGCGATTATCATACTATGTTCCCGTCACCACTAAAAAATGTCCAAGAGCCCACTATTGTGCTTTGGCAAGATAAACACGTATAAGGTTCAAACATATAATATAATAAATATTCTTGTATCTTCTCAAAATATAGACCATATAACCTCAAAAGATCCTCCATTACTCGCTGCTTGCTTAAAGACGCCCGCTCCATGTTTGCACAACGTTCGACAATTATTCAAAAAAGATGTGATTAATTTAACTGAACAAGGTAATACTCACAAACATACCCAGACATGTTGGAAGTATGACAGTATTATATGTCGCTTGCGCATGCCCAGAGCGTTAATACCAGAAACAACGATAAATGCTGAAACTGGACAAATCAAAATGAAACGCAGTCATGAAACTATAAATAATTTCAATGAATTTATAATCGTT